GTGGCTAATGCTAGTTGCAGTTCATGGTCGTCGCTTGGACTTACGCTGTTGCTGTGAACTTCGTTCCGGCGTATACTAACACCGTGGATAAGATCGGTGAGAGTGATCTTGGTCTTGACAGTCAGAGTACTAAAGATGAGGAGGCTGTTATGGGCTCTCATTCTATTGATGAGACCGTGGGTGAGAAGCATGAAGCCGTTCATGTGAAGCGGTAGATGGTTGTCATTTTCTCTGCTTTCAGTATCTCCTTCGGGGTAACGGCTAATGGTTAACGGCTAATGGGCGTTGAGATTTTGATTTTGATTTTGCTTTACTTGCTCAGGATTATTGGCTTTATAGAAACTATACCACGATGCTTGATTACCAGTAATGACCGAATGAGATTCAAAGTAGCCGTAGTTTTAAATGGTAACTAACATGCCTTTTACCCGAGGGGTAAAAAGAAACAAGCTGGATACGATATCAGAATACAAAAGAGAGAAATCACTTACAGTGGAAATTCCATTACTGGATCAAAGGGTGAGAACTTATCAACTGCCCCAGTCTGGACATGGGCCCAGCTCGATCAAATTGTAGAGAAAATTATTCCTGCCTCAGACAGGTTGCTCCCAAGTGACCTAGCTTCTGTAGAGATCCTATCCTCGTAAGTGCCATGGCCAAGCCGATGCATGAGTGATTAAATATTATTGTGTACATTGGACCTTCACATATGCACGGCTGGATCAGCACTTGAAGTTGGGGTATTTCTTTGCAAACTTGCCCAAAGCAAGAGTCGTAAAAATGAACTTATAGTTCGGGTATGAGATAGCGCAGCTCTTGTTGAAGATACCTTCAATACCTTCCTGCAGCCATTCCCCGTTCGCCTGTTGCCTCGACATAATTAAGCGGATTCCATGGGAAATTGGCTCAGAATTGGGATAGTCGACGCTCAGAAGTGCAATAATGGCGAATGCGGTTTGAACGACTTGAGACCCCGAGGGATGCTCAATATACTTCATCTGTTCGCAGCTCTGCACGGGATTAGCCTGTTATTCTCTGAGCAGGTCATTGAAGGTCTAGTCCTTCTCCAGGGCTGTGCGTAGTGCTTACCTGGAAACTTTCTGACCATCCACCATCCTCCCGTTGCTTGGAAAGTAAGAACTCGCACCCTTTGCGAACAGACATACTGTTTGCGTAATTTTCGCCGACGGATCCCAAGCACTCCAAAGCGAACATCGTCCCGTATGTGAAACATACACCCCAGCTTCCGTACCAGCTTCCATCAGGGAGTTGTGCCTTCTTGGTATAGTTTACACCTCGCTGAATGAATGCTTGAAGCTCAGTCCGCCGGTAATCAGGCCAATACTTTGAAAACAATGTCAAAGCAGTCAACACGGCACTTGTGCACTCTGGATAGTCGTACTCAATCATAATGCGTCCAAAGACCTCTGCTGTGTTCAACATCTCCAGATATTCGCCGCCCCTGGTGGGCTCATATGATGCGCAGCCTCCCGAGCGATTCTGGTAAGTGAGCAAAGTGTCGACAGCATCAAAGATCCGTTGGTCTTCGAGCAGCTGGGGGTATCCATCGGCCTCCTTTTGTAGCAGAATGACCGCCTTCAGTGCCTCTGAGATACAATCGCTGACGCCGTATCCCTGGTCACGATTGCTGAATGTCCAGGCTCCCTTTCGGAAATGACGATAGCAGACCCCTTGATCTTTGCAATTCTCGCGAATCTGCTGTTGGTCCAGGAACTCGAGCCCCCGAGTCAGCATAGGCTTCCATTTTGCATCTTCTGCTAACCCAGCCGCTGACACAGCCTGGATCAAAAACGCTGTATCCCAGCACTGTACACCATTCGTACCATTAACGAACATACCCTCTTTATTCACCCAGAGGAACTCTTCCATGCGTTCTCGGTGACGACGCACGGAATAAGAGTCAGGTCCATCGCGTATATAACAAACAAGGAGATTCATAGGGGCGTTGACCGATGCCAAATCGGCGTAGTCCGAGTTAGCATCCTCCATATCTATCAACTTACTGACCCAGTCCTCAGCACGGCTCGCCAGGCTTTTCGGTCGTAGGTATGGAGTCCAAATATCGGCAAGGAAAGAATTAATTGAGTTGAGCAGCCACGTTTTGGGGTGGTAGTTATCGCTCGAAGCAATGTCATTGCGGTGAGCTGCCCAGTCAATGCTTTCCCACGACTGAACAAACAACTCTCGTCGCAGGGCTCTGATGATATCCGTCTCCGGGGCCGTCCATCGCTTCGACCAGATCCACGACATCGGCAGGAAGACCTGTCGGATATGCACCCACCATCTCCATGGGGCCAACGGCACCCAGTCTGGCAGCAGCCAGGCTTCTGGGGGAACCGGATTGACGATCTCCCAATCACACACGCCCAGGACAGCTAACCAGAATTTCGACCAGTGCGGCGCATTCAAGGCGCCCCCTAGGCGATGTAACAGACCTCGCGCTTTGATCATGACCGGTTGCTCGGCCTCCACTCCGAGAAGTCGCAACACCGTATAGTTCAGGGACGTGCCGAACACGGTACTATCGCCCTCGGTGTGCAAACCCCAGCCTCCGTCAACAGGGTTCGCCTGAGAGACCAGGTAGTTTATAATCTCCGTTGCATATGCTGGAGGAATTTGTGTATCGGTCAACACCCATGCGATCACAACCCCAGGTAACAGAAACATCGGTCCGCCATATTCGCAGCCCCAATTTCCCGGCGGTAATTGTTGTTTAGAGAAAAAGGTCAAGCAATTGGAAACGCTTTCTAGTGGAGAAGTGGCAGGAGGAAGATCAGGAAGATCCTTTTATCGCATTAGATTTGGGACAAGCCAGGGTGGGGGATCATTGTGCAGGTGACATACCAGCGGAAGCCCTAAGTAATACTTATCGGCTAATGTCTGAGGCCATTTGGCGACGGCCTCGTCGTCATTGAGGTAATGCCACGTGTGCTTTCCGTCCTCGTCTAGCATGCGCCAGCGCGTATAATCCGTCTTTTGCGCTTGACTCATGCTTGTCAGACAGGTTGAGCACAACAAATCCACGTGAGACTGAAGCAATTATTCTTTGAACCAGTGGAATTCGCGAGCGGAAAGAATCGGCCTCTGGCGAAGACGCGACAACAGGGAGAATGAGAAACAAGCACTATGTGGTGCGTGGAAATAATCTGAGAGTCTCGAGGCGGACCATTGGGGCAGTGGCTTAATCGTGCCACGGCCCACCACCACCTATGGTGGCCACACCGGATAACCGATTTTCAAATTAGGTATCTGTTGTATAGCGACTCTACGCAAAAGGTACATAAACGCAACATCAATTTTCTCAACATGTACAAAGGTTAGGGGATATCAGAAGATATATATGTAGTGTAAATAATGTCCTCATTATATACTTTTAACTATACTAGGAAATCTCAAGCGTGCAAAGTGAGAGAGTAGTCTTAATTTTTTACGCAATATTCATACGTGGTTTTTTGAAAGTGCTCATTGGCTCTTTACGTTCTATATAGAATTAATTTTTATATTAGATCGACTAAACTGGACTCATATTATAATGGCCTCTTTACTTTCCCTTTAGCTAGTTTGAGAGTTGAGTTATGCTCAATTTGCGTTTATGTACCTTTTGTATAGAGTCGCTATACAACAGATACCTAATTTGAAAATCGGTTATCCGGTGTGGCCACCATAGGTGGTGGTGGGCCGTGGCACGATTACTCGTCCAATTCCCAGTTACAGCCTCGGATTCGGGCCGGCACCCGAACCGGGTGCGGTGCGAGGCCGCGGATCAGGCCGAGCGTAGCGAGGATAGGGCCTTTACTTTTATTTATTATAGTTCTTATATCAACTGTCATATAGTATCTATGGTCCCTATAAAACGTATAAGGCTTCTGATACACGGGGACTTGCAACCAGCTTACTATGGCCGCCGCTCACCTAGGAATTGTTGGTACTTTTCTTCTCCATTTACCTTTCATATTAGTTCATCCGTGTTCAAGTTCCGTACAGCATCGCTAAAAGATAAGAGGATGCCCTGGGGCGTCCGAAAATCTTGTGTCGTGTTGAGTCACGCATCATGATTCGTTCGGAAAAGATTGGCGGCGCATGTCCGTACACGATGCTACAATATGTACTTTGCTCGCAAGGTTATGGCCTTTCACCAGTCCCCGTGGAAAGTCTCTTTAAAATGCCCCACATGCTGCGTCTCCTTATCAAAATCTTCACTCGACAATACTGATGACATCTTAAGTTAATTTTCCCTTTAAAATTGAGATTCAGAGGCTTCCAAAACCACGCCTGTTCCAAACCAGACACGTTCAGGCCTTTCGTTACGTAGCTGGGAGCGGGGCGCACAGGCAAGCAACGGGGCAGGACCAGCTATCTAATATGAATTTGCCTGTCTTTGCATCCTTTAGCGCCTCCTTCTCGTAGAATTCTCAATGACTAGACTAGTTTACAGATGATTAGAACATGCATAGACCCCTGCCTGCGCGAGTCTCCAAACACGAGTTTTCAGGTGGGACACCGCACGAGTTCCCAGTGGCAAATCCCCGAATAGTTGACCGAGAGAACTAGGGCTTATGTGCCAAGTGTCAACTTGGTATGATTCGGTCTGGATTTGGCGATCTACCACGCATCAGCAGTAGAAGTACAGTAGTGTTATCAGCATGCGTACATAGTATCCGGAGAGGTCGCCTCCATGAGAGAATGGTTTGTAAGATTGGGGCCCATATTAGCAGTGCAATAATCCTAGAGACACAAGACGCATGTTTGACTCTCCTCTGTCCTATTTCTCTCTTTTTCACCATTCAGTGACTCCCTGAGCACCCGGTGCTTCTCACGATGTTGCAAGACTCTCGCTTCCCCCCTCGCTGGGTCTTTTGGGTAGCCTCTGCTATCGAGATCGGTGCTGGATTCACAGATCTTCGAGATGTACTCGCTGATATGAGATTGTCTGCCATCATTGCACTATTTCTTGTCTTCAACATCTCTATCATTGCCGCATGGCTTGTTCTTGTGTATCCCTATTTCTATAGCCCGTTCAGGCATCTCCCCCGACCAAAGGCAAGTCTAACTTTTCTCTTCACTATCTACGACATCTCGAAGTAGTGCAATTATCAAATTGCTGACCTTTTGCTTCTGCTTACAGGGAGAGATTCCTCTCATTGGCCAGGGTACCAAGCCTTATAAGAAGCCCTTCGGGGAGACATACCTGAAATGGTTCAAGGAAGTGCCCAACGACGGCCTCATTACTTATCGAAGTTTCCTCAATGGAGATAGGCTTTTAGTCACCAGCCCGAAGGCCATTGCCGATGTCCTAGTGCGCAATTCATACCACTACGAGAAAGTTCCCGAAGAGCGCTCGATCATTGCCCGTTTCCTCGGAGATGGCCTTACAATTGTGGAAGGAGAAGAACATCAGATGCAGAGAAAACTGTTGACTCCGGTTTATAGCCTGCGAACCATCAAAGACTTGTATCCGATTTTCTGGTCTACCGCGATCAAATTGACCCAGTCCATGTCAAAGAACATGGAGCAGACGACCAAGAAGTCAGGTGTCTATGAGATCAACTTCTGGGCCAACCAGGCTACGATTGATCTTATTGCTATCGCTGGTCTAGGAAAAGAGTTCAATTGCCTGGATGGTGTGGAGAATGAACTATTCACTGCTTACCAAGAGATCTTTACGTGGGCGCCTGAAAAAGAAGTCTATATGGCCTTGAACAGAATCCTCTCACCAAAGATCATCGAAGCTATTCCATGGGCAGTCAACGAGCGGATCAACGTCACCACCGCAATTCTTCGACGGGTTTGCCGCGAGTTGGTTGACGAGAAGCTAGAGGCGTACGCCAAGCAGGAGACAGACAAGAATGACATCCTGTCTTTGATGATCAGTCAAGGCAATTGGACTGCTGAGCGGTTAGTTGAGCAGTTGCTGACCTTCATTGCCGCAGGGTGAGTGCGGATTTCTCTTTCAGATCCGATTGCCTTCTTCGTCTTCTTCTTCTTCTTCTTCTTCTTTATCAGTGACTGACGTCCTTATTATTATTCTTCTTCTTTAGCCACGAAACATCTGCCTCCTCTTTCACCTGGGCCTGCTATCTCCTGGCCGAGCATCCAGAAGTACAAGCACGTCTATCGAAAGAACTACATAGTACGGTGCGCCCTCTCTTAGCCGGCGAGGCACAGCAAGACCCAGCCTCAATATCCGGTCTCCTCGAGAACCTCCCATACCTCAATGCAGTTTGCAACGAAGTCCTTCGATTTTACCCTCCCGTCCCCTTCATCCGTCGATACTCTATCACCCCAACCACCATTCTCGGCCAGCACATTCCTGCCGGGACACGGGTCATCCTCTGCCCCTGGGCCACAAACCGTGACCCAGCACTCTGGGGACCAGAGGCGGGCGTCTTCAAGCCCGAGCGGTGGATCGACCCAGTTACAGGCCGCAGCAACAAAGAAGGTGGGATGAGCAGCAACTTCGCCAATCTGACCTTCTCGCACGGTCCGCGAAGCTGTATCGGGCAAAACTTTGCCAAGGCAGAGTTGAGAACTTTGGTCGCCGTCTTCGTGTCCAAGTTCAAGTTCCAAATGGCGGTTCCGGGGGAGAATATCGTTCCTGTTGGGATTGTGTCTGTGAGGCCGAAGGATGGACTGCACTTGAAAATAGAGGACAGGGGTTAGAACTGGCGTTACGTACTTGACAATGAGGTAGCCCTTCGGGACTTTGAAACATTTGTACCCAGTAACATTCTTGCGCGTTTTTCGACCTTACGTCTTGAATATCGACATGTATAGACATTGAAAGTTGACCGTTCTGTCATCAAAGTTCGGGGAAACTGGTGGCTAGCGATGTTTCGTTCGTCGCGCCAGGCTAGGGCATCGTCTCCATCCTGGAAAGTGTCAGTCAAATAATGCTTCGGAATTCTTCCATCAAGATCCTCTGATTCAGAGAGCCCTACAACTGGTTGATCTTAGTCAATTGGGTACTACCAGAAACTGCTGGTCGAGAGCCTGTCAAAGCCTGGTGCTTTGGAACTGTTCTTCAGGCTATCCTTAACTGAGACAGTCCACTCGAGATTGAGCGTCGACGGCTACCGTGAAGACTTCGAGAACGGCACCAAAGAATATATCAGAAAAGGCACTAAGTTTTCAAAGTTACTATATGATCCCTGGAGAAATTCATCTATTGCGTAAAAGAAATGAAACGATAAACAGGCAGACAAAACTCTTCTAAACAAAATGGCACTTCAAGAAAATCGAAGGACTAGGTGGGCTTTGACTTAATGCTGCCTAAAATGAAAAAGCTAAACCAGGCTTCTATGTCAAAGTCTCTAGAGCTCCTTCTTCAGAGAATGATCGGGCTTGTGAGTAGTCTCGTCGTCAACATGCACATATGCACGCTCGACGTCGGGAAGCGACTCGAGCTTAATTTGGAGCTCTTCAGTGACATCGTGGGTGGCACGCAGGGATGCCTCTGGGTCCATGACAACGTCCATCTCGACCAGCAGGCGAGGGATAGCACTTTCATATGCTTTGTATTTATACAGTTTACATTAGGCAGTCAATATCAGATTAGAATAAGACCAAATACAGATTGATTTTCTATTGCAGTTCTAGATGGGGACCTGCTTGGTTTCACCATAAGGCTACTCATCCTGAACACCACGTAAAGGTGCAAGTCTTGTTCAGGTGTTGCACACAGGACCCGCGCAACTGGGTTAGGTAGGGGGTTGGGGGGGGGGGGGGGGGGGGGGGGGGGGGA